GCCTGAACTACTACACAGCATGACCATGTCTCAAAAAATTAAAAATGAATGAGAGAGAGAATGCTAACAATGGGCAGGTAGGTCCATGAAGGGGCTATGGTCCTCATCCAGTTCTTCCAGGTTTTCTACAGGGTCCACAGGTATTTTATTTTCAAAAGAACAAAAGGGTAGGGGTCACTGATCTGTGTATAAAAAATCTACAGATCTGAAGTAATGCATTATTTCAGAAACTTTAAAAGTTGGACTTTATTTTTTAATTTTTTTTTTGAGGCAGGGTCTCCCTTTGTAGCTCAGGCTGGCTCTGAACTCACTGTGTAGCCCAGGCTGGCCTCGAACTCACGGCGATCCTCCTGCCTCAGCCTCCCAAGTGCTGGGATCACAGGCCCGTGCCAAAAGTTGGACTTTGGATGAAATGAGCTGTGTTGTAGGCTAAACTGCGTCCCCGGAAATTGAGACGTTGAGGCCCAAGTCCCCAGAGCCTCAGGATGTGACATAAAGCCTTTACAAAGGTGACTGAGTTCAATGAGGCCATCAAGCAGGCACTGACTCAATATGAGACTGTTTTGTTTGGTTTTTTGAGACAGGGTCTCGTTATGTAGCTCAGGCTGGCCTCAAACTCGAAGCGATCCTCCTGCCTCAGCCTCCCAAGTGCTGGAATCACAGGTGTGCGCCACTCTGCCTGGCTACATGAGGCAACCTTAGAAGGAATGTGGGTGCACCCAGCAACACTAAGGGTGTCAAGTCAGCTGTGTGTCCTCTCCAAGGCCCCTGACTCCCCAGTCACAGTCGGTGGAGTTCGGAGGCGGAGCCTTTGCTAGGTGCTCATAACCAGCCAGGGTCACACGGTGGGTCGGAGCACGCAAGTGTGCCCTAGGCCATGCTGAGACTCTGCGGAGGGTCCCCAGCAGCAAGGGGGCCCCATACCGCCCCTCAACCTGGACCTCCACGCTCCGGAACTGTGAACTACCCACAGCCTGAGACGGTCCTGAGAGCAGCCCGAGGGCGCGGGAGGAAGGGTCAGCCCGCCAAGCCTCCTTGGGCTTCAGCCTCCAGAACTCAGAAAACAGGTCCGCGCCGTCGAGAGCCCCAGCCTAGCTGGGCTGTGCGTGTGACGTCGGGCTTCTGAGGCCTGACCTCGCTCCGCTGAGAACTGCTCCCACCTATCCGACCATTCATTCGCCACAAACGCTACAGAGCATGCGCAGTGACCGCCAGGGTGTCTCCGTGGCAGCTGGAGCCCCGGGCTAGAGCCACTCAGAGCAAGGCACGCCGGGAAGGGACGGGCCAGACGGGGCCGACCTACCCCGGCGGAGTGCACCATGCACTTGGGCGCCCCCGTGGTGCCGGAGGAGAACATGATGAAGAGCGGGTGGCTGAAGGGCAGCTGCTCGAACTCCAGCTGCGGGGCGAGCTCGCGGGTGCCGCTGGCCAGGAAGTCGTCCAGGAACACGCTGTGGACAGAAACGCGGAAGCCTATGAGAACGCGGTTCGGTCGCCGAGCCCCGCCCAGCCGCGCCCCGCCCCGCCCCGCCGCCCGAAGAGGGGCCAGTTTCCAGCAGCCCAGGTCTGGCGAACCTTCTAGAGCTTTCAGTGATACAAAGAGCCCGCTGTTTTCGCGGAAGGAACAAGGCAAAGCTTATGAATTCTAGCTAAGTGAAGGGAAACCAACAGAGTAACGTAAGTTTCAAGTTGGTTTGTTCATTTGTTTTGAGATGGGGTCTCACTATATAGTTCTTGCTGGTCTTGAACTCTGGCGATCCTCCTGCCTCAGCTTCCCAGTGCTGGGACTACAGGCATGCCCCTGCCACACCTATCTCCAAGTTGATTTCTTAGCACTGCAGACAGAGCTGTCTGCTGGCTCCTTACTTACCAGGGAAGGCCCAATTAACACAGGCACCATTTGTGTGCAGACTGGCAGTGACTCTTTCACCTGATTACACCACTTAGCACCCAGTGACTGCCTGAGGGAAGCAGGAGCCAGGGCAGACCCATCAGAAAGGCAGGGTGCAGAGAAGGCTTGGTTAATAAGCCCTTCCTGCACCCAGGCAGGCGGTCACCAAACCGGGGCTCAAGTAACAGGGGCAGATGTGCTGCAGGCCCATTTGCCACACCCTGAGGCTGATGATAACAAGTAATAATGAGTGGCAGTCCAAAGCACTGCAAGTGACACATGCCTGTAATACAAGCACTTGGGAGGCTGAGGCAGGAGGATCACAAGAGAGTTCAAGGCCAGCCTGAACTACATAGAGAGACCCTGTCTCGAAACAAAACAAAACAAAAACCCCCACAGATATCCATCCAGACATAAGTTAAGCCACACCACCAACTCTGACCGACTCTGAAGAAGTCTGCCAGCCTCCTGACCAATGCCAGCCAACATCACAAGTGGGTAGCTGGGAGCCACCAGGAAAGTCCTGGGCTGAGGCCACAGGGCCACCTTGGGAAGATGGTCCTTCTACTTTGAGATCAGCAGAAACATCTATCCCGGAACAGGGCCCTACCCCACTTTCCCATGCTGGGAGCTCTGTCCCTCCTGGAAGGGGACAGGAACCACTGCACCAAGGACACAGTGCAAAGGCACAAAGGCCCTGGCAAGCAAGGGAGGCATCCTGAGAGGCCAGGAGGTCCCCAGGGGCACCTGCTTGGCTTAAAAGGGCACAGAAAATATTTCAACTCCGAACTGTAAACAGACGCCACCTGCTCCCGCATGTCAGAAAACTGCACAAGGCTCCTCCCAGCCAAGTCCCTTCCTCTGTGAATGCCGTTTATGTAAAGTGCAGATCTCACAGGATGCTGCACACTGGGGAAAGCCTCTTCTTACACACGGTCCACAAATCAGTCCTTTTGTTGCCCTTCTAAAGCCAAAATCCCCAAGCGGGTAGGGAGAGTTTTCCCTCTGCCCTCTGGGACAGGCAGACAGGACCCAGTTTATCCCTGGCATCCAGAGATCAAAAGAGGTCAGTGACAGGCAGCTGGGGCTGGGGCTTAACGCAGAGCTAAAGGCGGAGGCCGCCTGATGCTGTTCCTATCAGTCACGATGGACACATTTCAACACTCAGCCGGCCACTGCGGCACCGGCAAAGCCCAGCCAGCTGCCCTCCTCGCCCCAAGCGAGGGTCTCCATCAGTGACACCAGGGAGCCACTGAGGTCCTCGATCACAGGGCCTGACCAGCACCGGGTGGCTCCACACTCCTGGCTGTCAGAGCTCCTGAGACCCGGTGCTTGCATCCCCTACGTAACCCTGCAGCAGCCTCTCAGAAAGGGCGTCCCCACTGTGTGGACTGAGAAACCATGGCACGCGGGCCAAGCGCCTGCCTGCCCAGGGCACCAGCGGGGACCAAGCCCAAGAAGGAGCTTCTGGTGGACGTCGACGGGGGAGGGGACAGAGCCTGCACCCTCGGTGCCAGGCAGCGGGAATCTGCAGGAATCACACGAGCGCGCGCACCCACGCTCGGGGCCTCCGCCACCCTCTTGTGGCCCAGGGCCTCCCAGGGCAGGGGGAGGAGCTCTGAGGCCTGGGACAGACTCCCCCAGGCTAAGCCACACCCACTCCCTTCCTTTCTGCTCAAAATCCAGATCCTCACATTTCCGCTGGGGACTCAAGAGAGCTTTGGAGTTCCTGAAAGTCAGAAAGCATAGAGTCATTTATAGCTAAATGGATGCATATCGAGGCCATACTCTTAAGTGAAATAAATAGGACACACGTGTGTAAATACCGAATAGTTTCACTAGTGTGAGAAACTGATAGTGTAAACAAGAGTTAAAATGATTAAAATGAATAATTGATAATTTGAAATAGGAAAAAAAGGTCCAAAGTCGAAGGAGTGAAGGGAGGGGAAGGGGAAAGGCAAAGAGGGAAAGGAAAAACTATGAGAAAAGAAAAAAAAAATGGAAATGAAATCTATGTAAGTAGGGAAGGGCAGGGGGTGAAGGGCACACAGGTAATGGGGAAAACAATAAGAACCAAGATACATCATGTACAGGTACAAACACCCAATGATAAATGTAAATGAACTGTACACCTAAAATGTACCAATAAAAGAACTAAAAAAAAAGGTTAAAAAAAAAAGTCAGAAAGCAAACAAAGGGGTCATTAGCAACGGGGAACAGACAGGTTCTACAAGGGAGAACACGTACACAACCTCCCACAGGGTCCTGGGGGGCAGTTCTGGGACATCCCCCCCCCCCAGGCACCAGATCTGCAGCTAGCCAAGTCCCTTATCTGAAATGGCACTGGGAGTAGTGCCAGGAGAGGGCACACTCCTGTAATCCTAGCACTCGGGAGGCTGAGGCAGGAGGATCACCAAAAAGTTTGAGGCCAGCCTGGCTACAGAGTGAGCTCAAGCCCAGCCTGGACTACACAGTGAGACCCTGTCGCAAGAAAACAAAAAAGTTGTAGCTAAACCCTCCTCCCGTTCTAAAATGCCATGCTCAAGTTCACGCGGAAAGACCACTCGAAAGACCACTCGGGTCTACTTCCCGTCCGGATGGCGCACAGGCCCCCTGGCCCGTGGGTTGGAATGTAGCTGTGCCTCACCTGTTTGGAATCTTGGAAATGTCGATCTTCTCCCTCGAGGTGATGTAGGGGATCACCACCACTTTCCTCAGGTCTGGAAGTCCTGGAAAGAGGAGGGGACACAAGGTCACGGGACAGAGGCTCGGCGGAGCGGGCTTCTTCTCACCAATGTCACAGGGCCAAGGCTTCTGCAGCGGCTCTCATCTCTGCACACGCACAGGCGCACACGCAAGCACACGCGTGCGCACACACACGTACCTTTCACCACCTGCTGCAGCTTCTCCAAGTGGCTGTGCCGCTTGCCATTGTAGACAACGGCCTCCACCGAGAAGATGAGCTTGGGCTGGATTTGTGAGAAGCGATCCAGGACGCCCTGGGCGGGAGGAATGGGCCCCACGGTCACCAGAAAGCCAAGCTCTTCCCTGCCCACAGTGCTTCAGGGGGGAAGGACGAACTACCGCCCAGCCTTGCCCTCACCGCAGCTCCTGCAGCGGCACAGGAGGCTGATGGAGATGCAACTCAGGTCTGAGACTGGATCCCCGCACCACGCAAGTCCTGCCGGCACTGCCAGGAAGAGCCCACCCTGCGGGGAGCCTGCTCAGCCCCCCACCCCCACCCCCGTGCTCACGGACCAGAAGCTCCGCCTCCCAGCGCACCTCCAGCGCCTGGTGCAGCCCACACTCAGCTCCCTGATCCTCTGTTAAAAAGGAACCCGACTCCCCAACGCCAACTGTGCTGACCACACGCACAGGTGCCCCCGCTCCCCACCCTGACCCGTTTGCCCCCCACGCCGTCTACATCCCTCCTGAGAACCGCCTCCCTGGCAGGGCCCGGACTTGTGTCCAGTGCGGCTGTGACTGCAGCTGCAGCCCCATGGCACCCTGACGCTCCCTGAGTGCCAGTCCCCAGGGCCACAGCCCAAAGCTCGCCCCCAGACACCCACAGGCCGGGGATACCGCCCCTCATTCTGCTTTCCTCACCCAACCAGGACCAGGGCCTCAAAGGCTCCAGATCAAGGCCGCTGGGGCTGCACCAGGGCTACATAGGTCTACATGGTAAGACCCTGCCTCAAAAGGCTGAAAAGAATACACAGATAAATGAAAGAAACATTCACAACTCAGCCAGGGAAGAGGGAAAAACAGGAAGGAACTAAAGCCGTAGGAAAAACGAATGACAGGCCTAATCAGTAAAACCAATAGTTTTTCCAAAACAGGCCAATAAAATACACTTCTCAGCAAGTGTGATGGAGAGGAAAAGCAATGCTTTCTTTAACTACCAGGGGCTGGGGTGTAGCTCATCCCAAAGCCATGGGATCAATGCCCAGTACCACAAAAAAAGAAAGGAAGGGAAGGAGGGGAAAGGAAAGATTCCTTTGCCACAAGCCCGGCAGGAGCCAGTGAGCAGCTGGGATGCGGCAGCCACTACCGTGGCCCTGGGCTCCTGTGCGCTGTGCCCAGCCCAGGCTGATGCAAGGAGGACCCAGAGCCACAGTGAGGGAAGCAGGGGCTGAGACATCGGCTGTGGATCGGAGCAGTGGGAGAACCAAGGCACCGAGACACACGTCCCCATGCTGGTGTCAGGACAAGCGAGGGGCCGCTCTGGGCAGGGGACACGAGCCAGGCGCAGGGCAGGAGGGAGGCCGGGACAGAAAGGGACAGGTCCGCTACAAAGCCTGAGCCAGCAGGCTCAGAAGGTGCCGGACAGGGACACCGCAGAGGCAGCCGGGATTTCTGGCTCTGACACCACCGGTGACCGACCAGTGGCTGTGACCGTGACGGAGCGGACAGCAGACATGATGAGTGCTGAGGAATGGGGCTGGGCCAGGCCTCAGGGCAGGGCAGGCTTCCCTGTCTGGACAGGCGAGGGCTGCAGCACCTCCTTCTGGCTGGCAACAAGCACCTGTGACTGCATCTGCCCCAATTCCGTGCCAGTCAACCAGGCAAGACCTGAGCCCGACAGCGCCAGCCAGGGCTGATCCTGACCGCCGCCCAGCCAAGAACAAATGCAGACCACGGGAAGCTGCAGGGGAATGAGGACTGCAGGGCCCTGAGTGCGGGAGAGGAGCCCTCCCCCAGCACCCTGAAACTGTGCCCACCTCCCAGTACGCAGCACCCGAAACCCGGAAGCTGGCAGTCTCGCCGCAGCAGGACAGGGGAGCCCCACGGGCAGAGTGCGCTGGGTACACATGCAAGATGCCGGGACCTCGGGACAGAGACCAGGACGCAGGAAACACGGGGCCGTGTGGGAGGAGAGGCAGAGCAGAGGCACACAGCCAGCGCACGTCTGGGACCCAAGTCCCCACGGTCCCCAGCCCACTGTGGTCATCTGTGGCACAGCACCTGCCTCACCTCGCCCGGAGGAGCAGGTGCCCATTGAGTGGAGGCCCCGCCCACCTGAAAGCCCCCACCCCAGCATGTCCGCCCGTCCCCTCACACAGCAGGGTTTGCAGGTGCAGCAGCTGTCCCTTTATAAGGGGATCGTCAGTGCCTCGAGAGAGAGTGGAAAAGACCTAGGTCCACCGCTCTCTCGGTGGAGCCACAAACTGGTGCAGACAGGAGGGAGCACCTCTGCCCTGCTCAGTCCCAACCCCGTGTTCCCACCTACAGAAAGTCCTGGTCCATTTCGGCCCAGATCGAGGACGGCGAGGAGGGCAGGGTTTGATGCTGGCAGTAGACCCCTCCCTGGCGGAACGATCTGCCATCCTGGAAAGATGCTCTTCCCAGAACCAGAGCCAAGGACAGTGCACGCAGCGCCTGCTGTCACCTGGTGCCCATGCACTGGGGGCGGCACTCCCAGGCCAGGCTGCTCTGGGCAGCTCTGACTCCAGGACCCAGGGCCAGGCGGCGCCAGGCAGGGACGGTCCCCCAGAAGGCGTTAGCCAC